TTCCTTATCTTCGGTGCTATTGCCCGTACCGTCAAGTCCGAGAGATCGAATTTGTGGGAAATAAAATTATCCATCTAATGATAATAAAATCAAGGTCATAGGACGATTAGGTGAATCACAATGGCCGGTCAAAGGTCAAAAGTGGGGGGTAGTTTTTGATGGTTTTTCGTGAATACCGTGAAACCAGTAGGTTTTTTCGCATACTGCTTCGATACCATTTCGAAGTACTTGAAATTACCTACCAAATGAGTGCTCAAACACTCATCTACTGTGAATAGTTTGCCGTCAATCCAACGACCAAGTTGACCGCGCGCGCCGATGTTGTACTTCCCGATAAGCTAAAAAGTTTAAATTTTCAGGGGACTTAGAATTTTTAATTTTGTCGAGCCAAAACAAATTTCATTCCCCCCCCCCCCCAACCCTGGGAAACCCTGGGGGGGCTGTCAAAGTTTTCACTTTCGACCCTTGTACAGGGTGGTGGGCCAATTTGGACACTTTGTGGGAAATAAAATTATCCATCTAATGATACATTGTTTCTTATGACAAAAACCAAAATATTTTTTTTTCTCGAAAACGGTTAGAGATAAACCTATCGAACTTTATATCATTAAAATCAGAAAAATCATAGCTTTGCAATGAGCTATTAATATAAAGGGTGTCCCATTGAAAAAAATCAGACTTTGGTCAATATCTCAAAATCGGCGCCAAATAGAAAAAAACTAAGAAAATCAATGAATTCTGCTTAAAAAAGTGCTTCTAGAAAGTTTTAACGGAAATCAATTATTTTCATAAACAAAAAAGTTATGAAGGATTCATAATATTGCTCAAAATCGAGAATCGCCCTCTAGCGGCTAAACGGTTGAAGATATCAAAAAGCGGTTTGCACCAATCGAAATTTCATGAAATTTGAGCCTCAGAGTGGGGGGTTAATTTTTTTCTATCTCTAAAAATAAAGGGTGTTTCCATAAGGAAGTGTCCAAATTGGCCCACCCTGTACAGCCCAAACGAGTGGGGAGGGGGGGGCGGAAATGAAATTTTCAGGGGAAGTAGAGAAAAAGTTCCTCTATCGAATGGATGGGGGGACGAATTTTTAAAAAATTTTGGAGGGGGGAAAAATATGAAAAACGCAATATCTCGAGAACTTATTTGCGATCTAAAAATGACGTCCCAAGGGCTTTGGGCCGATTCGGATGAAATTTAAAGTGTAAGTAAAACGGGTCCAAAAAAGGTTTAATTTCAAGTTTCAGCTCTCTACGACATATAGGAAAGGTTTTAGCCCCTATCTCCCAATTTTGAGAAAGGGCGTAGAATGGGGTATACGCGTTTTGCATTTATTTTCACGAATTTTGAAAAATTAAAATTTTAATCGGATAGCGGAGGAAAAAATACGTCGAAAATGTCTCTAGGCGTTTTTTGCTCTGACGCTTCCTAAGCGCGCGCGGTCAACTTGGTCGTTGGATTGACGGCAAACTATTCACAGTAGATGAGTGTTTGAGCACTCATTTTGTAGGTTATTTCAAGTACTTCGAAATGGTATCGAAGCAGTATGCGAAAAAACCTACCGGTTTCACGGTATTCACGAAAAACCAAAAACTACCCCCCACTTTTGACCTTTGACCGGCCATTGTGATTCACCTAATCGTCCTATGACCTTGATTTTATCATCATTAAGCTGGGTACGCATATGAGCATGAACGCGAGTGAGGCAATCCGAGGCCGAATCATTTGCCTCGGTTTCGGAAAGAAATAAATTTTTGGGTGACTTGAATAGTGGACGCATGAGGCGTTGTGCGGAATCGATCCATAAATATGTGGTGAGCATTCTTGTTGTTATGAACACAACTACTACTCTACAACAACACGTGGACTGCCTCGACCTCGAAATGAATTTTTTAAAATTTCCATCCACACTGAGCACACATGAGCAGCGCACGAGCAGATGCCTCACTTTGATGTACCGCCAACAGTTGGATTGGGTCGAGGCCAAATGCACGCGGGTTCAAACAAATTTGCACGCCTCGTTCAGACGTACACATACGTATGCTCATGCGTCCTCGGGCTGCCTCATTCGCGTTCGTGCTCATATGCGTACCCAGCTTTAGATAGATAATTTTATTTCCCACAAATATGATCTCTCGGACTTGACGGTACGGGCAATAGCACCGAAGATAAGGAATTAAAACGAACTCAACCCTACATAAAGAGATGGTAGTATCTTCCCCCACCCCCTCGAATACGACAACTCAGTTTCAGACTCAGGACATGCCCTCGAACACACCCTCAAAATTTCAGCCATTAAGTTTTTTTTTAGTGAAATTTCCCTATTTACTGTACTATGAGTATATGGTCCAGATTTGTCAAAAAGGTATCAAAATGCCCCTAAGGAGACCTAAACATTGCTAAAACATACAAATTAAAATCACTTATAAATACACATGAGTACTCTATACATTTTTCTAAATTATAATCTATACTAAATTTTTTTACATTTCCTTTCAGAACATCACGAACAAATATTACCGTGCCACCTCCAGTAGAGTCCTTTCTTGCAGAAATTCCCAAAGTATCATAGCCATTAATATTAAGTGTGCCAATTTCTTCTTCTGACATCCAATGCTCTGTTACACAGAGAACATCGATGTTCTTATCAACAATAAACGCCTCAAATTGCAGCAACTTATTTTTTAAGGACCTTGCATTGATGTTCAATATTTTGAGTTGCTTTGTTGGATTAGTTGTATTCTTGGATTGAATGGCTTCCTTGCTTTGAACTTCAATTATTTTCCCCAGTGTCGCTGACTTGTCGTGCGACTTCGGCGTTGGAGATTCATAAAATGGTTAATAGAAGTGCCTCTAGACCATAGATTGGGTGACATTATTTCTTCTTTGAGATTAGTAGGCACAGCCAGTTTGAAAGAACTTTGAAGCTTATCCTTTTTGGTTCTCATTTTTTCACAAACATAGTCTTCGCTAGGATGTTTTTCTTTCAAATAATCCACAATATCTTTGCCCTCGAGTTTTGGAGCAAGACCAGAGACAAAAATCCATGATAATTTTGTGGCGGCAGTAAGACAATTTCCATTTTCGTTTGTGCCCTGAATCGGTTTTGGACGATTTTGTTTTCGTTTATTATTTTTGTTTATGACCGTGATCCACTCATCCCTTCCGCGTTCGCTGTCAACGTCTATGGTTGTCGCTTTCAGCGTGTTCTTTAATTTGTGTGGTGGGCATGGTGTCAGAACCACTTGCTGCTGCAACGTGATCCGTCCCAACCTCACTTTGGTTCTCGGGCGTGTTCCGCGCGTTCTGGTTCACTGGCACGGGTTTACCATTTTCATGATTATCCTGTGGCCTTGGAGGAGAGATACCTCTTTTTGGTATGGTGCTGGTATTTTCTATGTTGGGTGGATCGCCGACGATGCAAGATGCATTTTGTTTTCATTTTCCTTGCTAAGGGAATATTCCAGTTTTTCCTCCAGGAAAACTATTTTTTCTTTTAGTAGCTCGCTGTTTTCTTCACCAGTCTTCTCAGACGGTCTCTTTCTGCATTATCTTCATTGTTGATGTTTATGCTTTGTGTTCTAACCTTGTCGGATTATTGGATACATTCGGCGTTTTTCTGCTTTGCTGCTTGTACCAAACACGCCGGATGAAAGCAATTAATACACTTTTTACATTTCACTACTTCCACAACACTTTTCTTACAATGATGGCACTTATTTACCACCTTTTTCTCGGTTTTTTTTAAGAGCTAAAATTTCGTCTGCCACTAAGTCGGCCATCTTTCATGTACATCGTACATCTTGCATTTACAGAGAATGTCTAAAACTACAAACAGCCAAACAGCCCTAACAACCTAATCTAGGTACTTTGTACCAAACTTTGTATCTTCTTCTTGAATAAAGTTATTTTCTCGGTTATTTTACTTTGAAAAATATCACAACTTGTTACATTAATTATATCACACATTCTTACTATAGATGAGGTATCCTAGACTGCCTATTTGTTCTAGGTGTATCATAAGTTAATAAGTCCTTTTCTGCAGAAATCACAAACCAGTCAGAGTGAATTTCATTTGTTGAAACTGTTGTAGTTTTCTGACTGTTTTCAACCAATCAAATTCGCTTTTACTGGTTTGTGATTTATGCAGAAACAGACCTAATATATATGACTATCTAAACCTGGTCCAACGAACATACGGAGCATGACAGAGTCAAATTGGCAGCCAGGTTTACACTGAACATTTATTTATTTCAAAATTTTACAAAACAGCACTCAGTTTAACGCGGCTGATAAATGACCAATAGTAAGTTATTGAAGGGTTTTGCTGTTTTTCACTCCGTAGGTTGTTTCAACAGATTATAGTTCTCAAATCTGGTACCCTTATACTTATTGGGCTCAACAGATATTTACTCTAATCAAATGGTAGAAAACAAAGGAAAGTTTTGATGTAGTTTTAAAATTTTGTTTGTACATGTTTTTTGCATTGCTTTACACGAATATCAAGTTTGCCAATAAGAAATTTGACCGAAAATGGGTTTTGTGAAGGAAACCCCCCTAAAAACTGCCTTGTCACAGTTTTTATCAAATAACTGAACACCTATTTAATTTGATAGACATTGATTACATATAAAAGGAAAGAGTTTAAAATTTCCTACATTTTATCTCTGAGTGTTTTACTAGGATCAATGGTTCAGCCGCGATGAGGACGCAAAGTTGAGTATATCTTCACCAACGTGTCCTTTTCCTTAAAGTCCCTGGCTCTTCATCAGCATCTACAATATTTATTCATTCATTTATATAATAATATAAATAGAGACAAATGAAATTACATTTTGTGGTTAGTTGCAACTGATATCTAGTCTTATCTTCATTCATTGGTTCAGTGACTGAGAAATTCAACACCAATTCGTTCGTCATTTCCACCTCATCTCTGGCTCTGCAAGAATGACTGCCGTATTGTCACAATTGTTTTCACAGTTCAAGCAAGGTACTGCAGCTCAGCCCTGCTTTCTTACAGCCACAATTTCTTTGGAAATTTGTAGTGCACTTGTACGAGACAAGCTTAAATAAATCTGGGAGAGCATATAGTAACAACAAGGTAGCCTCTCTTCTGCTGGTCCGCTGATTTTGTTCTTCTTGATGCGGTCAATATCGCTTTTCCTTTGTAAAGCATTAAAACTAAGGCACGCAGGCCATCGTACACAGCGGGCTTCAGAATTTCTTGCCGAATCCTCTGCTGCTTCAACTTGATTAGGAGATTGACTGTTGATGTCAATTTTATAAGTAACTGTAGAAATTACCGTGTGTCCCCTAATAGACTCGTCAGGGCCGCTAGGGAGGAATATTTCAATAATAGACTGCGAAAAATATGTCTGGGGAGGCGTGGTCTATGAATGAATTCCGATTGAGCGGCACCATTGGCGTTTCTGAAGTTGAGGTTATTCTTCATACTTTAAATCAGTATTATTGCATTGCAGTATTTCCTTTCCGCTAACTTCCAGTCTGGTATCGAACACCGATCCAATGTCCTACCTGAACAACGCTCGATTATCGATTTCCTTTCGAAAAGGGTATTCTTTCAGCACCATCTCCAACCCTATCAAATTTATGGCAAGACTCGAAGTCCGAGTTGGAAAAAAATACGAAAATCTCAATATTTATGCATTTTTACTTGTTGAGGGTAGTTTTTTATATTTCGACGGGGTTTGAGTAAATGGGATTTTGCATTAGGGTTGGAGATGGTGCTGAAAGAGTACCTTATTAATTTTATGGCAAGACTCGAAGTTCGAGTTGGAACCAACCTATTTTCAAATTCAAGAAACCCTTTTTCAAAGTTGTGTACCCATACCTAAAGTCTCTTAAAGTGGTACCCACCTGAATATACATTTAATAGTTATTAACGTTAGAAGGCCGATAAAAAGCAAAACAAAAAAACGGCCGAAGTTTGGAATACCGCCTAGGATTATAGTCAGTCAAGGTTGTTATATTGATTGGAAAAATTAGTGCTAATTGCTAACTTTCCGAGAAAAATTCTATAAATTCCATCTTTGTTGCAAACTTAATGCACACAGGGCTCTTGGCTCTTGGTTTTCATGAAATAACAGGTTGTTTTTTCTTGTAACTTCTGTGAAAAAACAAGTCACTCGACTCACTGTTCTTCAAAGTGTTGTTGCAGTGCTAGTTTTGTCGTGATTTTTGTGATATATTCTTGAATAAAATTTGTTTAGTTTGAAAAAATTGTCTCACTTATATATGAACCCGCTTACCTAACATAATTATTAATTATGGAATTATTTTTGGAAATTACAAATATGTATATGTATAGTCTACTATGTACTAATATTGAATGACTTTTTGTCACTTTGGGCCCAAATAAAATAACAATTATAACAAGTTTATTTAGCTTAACAAACTGTGCCAAATTTAAAAATTTCAACTATTTTCTTCTTTCTAGGGATCGCATGACATGTTTATCCAATCTCAACAGTTGGTCACAGGCAGCAATAACTCAGGTATCGCGCCATCTTCAATTAACAACACCACAACAGGAACTTTTCTTGGTGCCCCAAAAAAACGCAGGGCGCTCGATTACTACAACAGCTCAGTGGCGTCCGATCTGTCATTCGTGGACAATAGCGGTTTCGGAACGGTGGTGAGCGGTAACGGTTCAACAGAAACGGTCACTCAGCAAGGTATTGCTGAGGGTATTCAGGATAGTCCGAATGGCAAACCGTTTGTTCGAGCTTCTACCATCAAGTTGTTAGATACATACCAGCGCTGCGGGCAGAAGGTAAAGACACTTTTTATCAAACTACTATTAAGTATTAACAATAACAAGACTTAGGCTTAGCAAAGAAGAACGCGCCCCTAATGGCCAAGTTTAAATAATTCACTTAAACAATGGTTTTATCCATAGAGGTTCTATCCCTATCCATTCACGCCTTGGTACAATCACGTGTAAGATATGGTGTTATTTTCTGGGGTAACGCTACATACAAAAGAGATGTCTTAGAACAATCTTAAAACTAAACCGCAAACAAAACTGCAAAGCAGATTTTATTCAGTATGAAATTCAGACAGTATACAATATCTATATTCAAGAGAGTATTGAATTTATTATAAAAAATCCAGATCTATTTGAAAACCAAAGAATCGAGCACAAATATGACACAAAGAAAAAGGATAATCTAGAAGAACAGATATACCTCAATTTAGTTATTCACAAAAAAAATATAACTTTTAATAATATTATAAAAATTTGGAACTCACATTGCGGTTGTGTCATTGCCTGTCACACTGAGACCAATGCGTAACAAGAAAACTGCGGGAAAAATTATGTTGCTTCTGGAAAATCGAGCCTACTATAGTGTTAACGAATTTTTCGAGGATAAAAATAAATCAATTTTCTTGAATTGATCTACATAGACTGAATGTTCTGACCAATTTCTTGGAGATTTTCATGTCTTGAGTGTTTGTAATGTTTTATTATGATTTTTTTTTCTATGTCTTCGTCTTAGAAGTCGTAAAATATTTTTAGATGTTTATTGTTACAGACTTGTATGTATATTAGTTCTAATATTGCAGTTTAATTATTTTATTTTACTTTATTTATTTTTTGTTTATTTATCTATTTTATCTTATTTTTTTTATATTGACGTGATCCACACCTGAAAGGATACAAAATGTATTTTTATATTTTAATTAGATCAAATAGAGAGAACTGAACTGAGCTGAATAAATTTGTGATTTTCAGATATACAGGCTATTAAAAAGCCATTTAAATTTTTTCGTGATACTGTACTGTTATCTTAATATAACATGAGCGAAATTGAAATCGAAAAGGTATATTTAACAGGCCGCCGGACGTTATTTATCCGCCGACCGGTTAAATATAAATAACAGGCCGCCAGCCGGTAGAGTATTTTTTCTTTTGTCAGATTGAAAGATATCTGCAGCATAACGAAAAATCTAGAACGAAACACGGCCGATAACTGCAAATAACAGCCTTGGCTGATTATGATCCTCGGCTATCAGCCCAGCCGTTATTTGGTACTTATCGGCCTTCTTACGTTAATAACTATAGTATTTTTAATACCTATTTAGAAGTACCTGTCGTTTTGGTGACAAAACGTATGTCGCTTCTTGACACACAAATAAAATTAGGTTAGGAATTTCCTATTTGTAGATGAAATTGACGTATTAGCAATCGACGTTCGTTTTTGTTGGTAATTTTTTGTTTCATCTGATTCGTGATTGATAAATAAGGATGGGGTTATTCTAAATGGGTATCACAAATACTATATTACAGGTTCTCCCCAATACAAGTTATTATCATTTATTATCGTTAGCAACAACAAAATAGATATAGGATAGAAAACATTGAAAGTACATCCGCACAACCACTGTAGTCAAGACTTTCTGAACAGCTACAAAAACCATACAGGTCAACAACATATAAATTTTTCTACGAGGTTCCAGAATGACCAAACATCTCTTCTAGACCTGCTTATTGTTACAAAATATTTAATGGCAGCACTCAAGGTGTTGGCAGGCCACATGCTACTATAAACCTCTGAGATAGATACAGCATCAACATGTATGTAATTATTATGGCATGCAGGCATAAAATCAGGAACTTTAAAAATGAGTTGTCATATACACAGTGGTAAACGAGGTGGTAAAGTGATTAGCAAATTGGCAAATTGTATTTGAAAAAAATACAATACATGATTGTTTTGTTGAGCATTGGTTGATTGCCAAACAATGTAGAAGCATCAATCTCTAATATCCGACAAGTGAGGCAATGAAAATGTATAAGTAGGTACTCGATTAGCATTAAATTTGCACTATGATTGTGTCGAGGATTGTATCATTGAAAGATGGTTGGGTTTTATTAATTACCTATGAATAATTAATTAATAATTGCAATAAAATAGAGAAAGCAGAAATAGAAAAAAAAATTCTAAATTTAACAAAATGAGTTAACATGATATGGTAGTTTAGGAGGTAAAGCAAATAAAGGAAAATGAAAAACAAAATGTATGTGTGTTGACTGGTTTTTAAAGAATTCCAACATTTTACGTTCCTAACTCTGTACATTCCTAACTCTGTACCATCAAGGATATCGAATGTGACAATTTCCCAATTATTTATTCTTATAGGATAGGTAACTTATGTTACATTTCCATTCAACAATATAGTACATGTAGTAATAAGTATGGTCCCTACAATGAAATAATGCACCTAGGTAACTAAATAGTTGTATGTGCAGAATGATATTTGTTGTTTTATACTGTTTCCTTATTCCAGAAATTTGGGAATATGTATCTTTGAATTGGTACCTGTGTCACGGATTCCAGGTTTACTAAAACTCACTTTACAAAAAGTAACAACTTTTTATTGAACAAATTGACTTTATAGAGATTTAGAGATTCACTTGTCAAAGTATTCACCAAATCTCATAGATATTTAAACTCACTCACTACAACAAGACTCCTATTTAAACCGACCTTCAAGTTTGAAATGACTTCTACGCGCCTTTTATAGACGACATCATACTACGGATTTATCTAGAAGACTTGTTTTCTTGAATACAATAAAATTCCCAGTAAAGACGCGCTCTAGATTAAAACAACTGAGTTTTCAGAATTCTGGCTGGGTTGTCGATGCAATTTTGTATGCATTACTCCTAGCATACGATGATACTGGAAAAGTTGGAATCTATGGGTATAAGAGGAGTAGCAGATAATTTATGTCTATCAACTTAGCGAGACAACTTCGAAAAATCGATTTTCCATGATGCCAAGAATTTGCCGCTTTTTTGCCGCTAATTAAATGTGGAATTAAAAAATTTGCCGCTCTTTTGGTTTTTTCTTAATTACGTGTTTTGCTAACTTGACGTCAAGATAGCGAGACAACATCACTAAATATGTCAGCACTAAGAAACTAGGTACGTGAAAATTTGCCGCTAATTAGTTGTGAAAATCAAAAATTTGCCGGTTATTTTTTTTTTCATAATGTTTGAAAAAAGTTTGAAAAAAAAAATCAATTGTTTCGCTAACTTGACGTCAAGTTAGCGAGACATTATCACCAAAAATGTCGGTAGTGAAAAATTGAGTGAATGGGAATTTGCCGTTTTTTTGCCGCTAATTAGTTGTGAAAACAAAAAATTTGCCGCTTTTTTTTACAAAAAATCAAGTTTGAAAAAAAAATCATGTGTTTCGCTAACTTGACGTCAAGTTAGCGAGACAATATCACTAAAAATGTCGGTAGTGATGAGTTGAGTGAATGGAAATTTGCCGTTTTTTTGCCGCTAATTAGATGTAAAAACTAAAAATTTGCCGCTACCTTTCTTTTCATAAGAAAATCGTGTTCGAAAATAAAATGGTGTTTTGCTAATTTAACGTAAAGTTAGCGAGATCACTAAAAATGTCGGTAGTGATAAATTGAGTGAGTGGAAATTTGCCGCTAATTAGTTGTGAAAATCAAAAATTTGCCGGTTATTTTTTTTTCATAATGTTTGAAAAAAGTTTGAAAAAAAAAATCAATTGTTTCGCTAACTTGACGTCAAGTTAGCGAGACATTATCACCAAAAATGTCGGTAGTGAAAAATTGAGTGAATGGGAATTTGCCGTTTTTTTGCCGCTAATTAGTTGTGAAAACAAAAAATTTGCCGCTTTTTTTTACAAAAAATCAAGTTTGAAAAAAAAATCATGTGTTTCGCTAACTTGACGTCAAGTTAGCGAGACAATATCACTAAAAATGTCGGTAGTGATGAGTTGAGTGAATGGAAATTTGCCGTTTTTTTGCCGCTAATTAGATGTAAAAACTAAAAATTTGCCGCTACCTTTCTTTTCATAAGAAAATCGTGTTCGAAAATAAAATTGTGTTTTGCTAATTTAACGTAAAGTTAGCGAGATCACTAAAAATGTCGGTAGTGATAAATTGAGTGAGTGGAAATTTGCCGCTAATTATCTCTTTTTCTACAAGAAAATATCGCGTTTGAAAAAAAAATCAAGTTAGCAAAACAGTAAACAGTATCAATAAAAATGTCGGTAGAAAATTTCATTCATCTGTCAAAACTGGTATTCGAACCATAAACTCTGGCTCTGTGTCATTTGCGCGACAATCGTTTGCGCGAGGGAGAAAAGCGTGATACTAAAAGCGCGAGGGACAAAAGCGCGACGGAACAAAAACGCGAGGGAAAAAGCGCGACGGAACAAAAACGCGACTGGAGTAAAGCACGATTGGACAACAACGCGAGGTATCTAACTATCTACGAGGACTGTACGCAAAAGAGGGACACATCAAATTGTATCAATAATATTCAGAAAAATGCAGCCTTACTCAAACTAACCCATACTAACCCGTTCCCCTAGTGCAATCTAGACTTCGTTAAATAGAATTTTATTTGAAAAACAAGGCGCGGTCAAGGGACCCTACGCTATAAATAAATTGACTGTTTTTTTGGATAAAATGCTAACTTACGAGTACTAGATCACACTAGGCGGGCGGGTTATTTTGGGTTAGTTTGAGCAAGTCTGTATTTGCTTTATTATTATTGATTCAAATTGATGTCGCCATACAGACTTACTCAAACTAACCCAAAATAACCCGTCCACCTAGTACGATCTAGTCCTCGTAAGTATTTTATTTAAAAAAACAAAGTTAATTCCCTGATTGCTCAGGGTCTCTTGAGAGCGCAGTGCTTTTTAAATAAAATGCTAATTCACGAGGACGAGATTGCCCTAGACGGACGGGTTAGTTTGGGTTGGTTTGAGTAAGTACATAATTTTGATATTGGAACAATTTGATGTTTCCCTCTTTTGCTTAGAGGTCGTCGTTGTAAATGTCGCTCTTTTAATTTGTCACTGTTCTAAATCTCGTTCTTTACATATGTCGCTCTTTTGATATGATGCTGTTTTTTTTTAGATGCCGCTATTTGAATATCGCTGTTCCAAATGTCGCTATTTTGATATATCGCTTTAACAATATGTCGCCTTTTTGATGTTGCTATTTTAAATATCGTTCTTTTGAACCGGAGCCACCGAAAATATCTTGTATTTTGGAAAACGATCTTCAGTTCTCGTAGTAAGGCACTTCGCATTCTTGGGCAATCGCGCTTTATCCAGTCGCGTTTTTGTTCCGTCGCGCTTTTGTCCCCTCGCGCTTTTGCTTCTAGCGCTTTTATCCAGTCGCGTTTTTGCGCAGTCGTGAGCTTTTGTCCCTCGCGCTTTTGTTCCTCGCGCTTCTATCCAGTCGCGTTTTTGTCCATCGCGCACTTGTCCTGTCGCGTTTTTGTCCCTCGCGCTTTTCGTATCGCGCTTTTCTCCCTCGCGCAAACGGTTGTCGCGCAAATGACACAGATCCCATGCATAAACTGGCATTTTTTAATTGTTGATTTCAACCAATCAGATTACGATTACGTGATAATTTGTACTAGTGCAGGATTATCGGATTGGATAATTGGCTTACTAACGGGTGGCATTTGACATTTTTTCTGATTGGTGACATTTTATACTTACAAGGATATACTAAAATTTTAAATTTTTGATTCATGAAATTCTCTCATAAAATACAACTCGAGCAATGGAAATATATCTATAATTTTTGAGAAATTTGCTCTCATGCATTTTTAACTGGAAAAGGCACTCGTCCCTCGTGCTTTTTTTCAACTAAAAATGCATTCGGAAAAATTTGCCAAAAATTATCGATAATTTCCATTTTATCCCAATTTAATTTTATTTCTAATTTTATTTCTAATTTTATTTCTAATTTTATTTTATTTTCTGTATAAATAAGCACACGATATTTCGCTTTCTGATTTTTGAAACCTATAAGGTCTCCAATAGAGTTTTCCTAAGCTAAAGAAAAAAAACTGAAAAACTATTCTCAAAAAACTTAGAAATAAATATTTGTTCCAACAAATGTTGAGTTTCACTAATTAAAATATACTAACAGGGTGCATACAAATCAAGGGTGGGAGATCATTTATAAGGGAACACCCTTTTACTCACCTAATGTTATTCTGCCCTTCGTTTTTTGTGATGATGTCGGTCTAACTTAACGGCATGCTTGCGAAACACAAGTTTTTTTCAAACACGATTTTTTCATGGAGAAAAAGAGCGGCAAATTTTTGGGTTTTCACATTTAATTAGCGGCAAAAAGCGGCAAATTTCCACAGCTTTTCTCTACCACTCAATTTTGCTCTACCGACATTTTTAATGATACTGTTTTGCTCACTTGATGTCAACTTAGCAAAACACATGATATTTTTTTCAAACGCGATATTTTCCACTCACTCAATAATTTATCACTACCGACATTTTTAGTGATCTCGCTAACTTTACGTTAAATTAGCTAAACATTATTTTATTTTCGAACACGATTTTCTTATGAAAAGAAAGGTAGCGGCAAATTTTTAGTTTCCACATGTAATTAGCGGCAGAAAAACGGCAAATTTTCATTCACTCAACTTATCACTACCGACATTTTTAGTGATATTGTCTCGCTAACTTGACGTCAAGTTAGCGAAACACATGATTTTTTTTTCAAACTTGATTTTTTGTAAAAAAAAGAAGCGACAAATTTTTGGTTTTCACAACTAATTAGCGGCAAAAAAACGGCAAATTTCCATTCATTCAATTTTTCAGTACCGACATTTTTAGTGATAATGTCTCGCTAACTTGATGTCAAGTTAGCGAAACAAATGATTTTTTTTTTTCAAACTTGATTATTTATGGAAAAAAAAAGAAATTTTTGGTTTACACAACTAATTAGCAGCAAAAAAACGGCAAATTTTCATCTACCTAATTTTTTACTGCTGACATATTTAGTGATGTTGTCTCGCTATCTTGACGTCAAGTTAGCGAAACACGTAATTAAGAAAAAACCAAAAGAGCGGCAAATTTTTTAATTCCACATTTAATTAGCGGCAAAAAAGCGGCAAATTCTTGGCATAACGGAAAATCGATTTTCCGAAGTTGTCTCGCTAAGTTGATAGACATAGATAATTTGCTTGGGTCATATCTTATAAATTGACAACAGTATACAATGGCTGGCCAAAGAGAGTGCGAGAGTAACATCAGTCAGGGGTGCAACAAGGATTAGTCATGGGTCCACTTCTATGTATACCTACTGTATGTTCACAGCTTGTCTAAGATCAAACTGAACTGCAAGTACAGGGTGCTGCAATTTGGAGTGTTTCAACAGAAAAAAATATACTTCCAGACCAGATAGAGGAAAATTGACTTAGATGTTATGGGATCGATTTTCGAGAAACGTCAATTGTCAAAAACTGTATCACGATATCTCAGCATGCGTTAACGCTTCGATTCTGTCAGCTGGGATAAACGACAGGGTCGTATTTAGAAAAGTGATATACATTTCAGAATAAAAATTTATTTTCAATTTCTTGGGGAAGTTAAGTTATTAAAATCCAAAAATCCTAAAATTAGAGTACAAAGTAAACACTTATAAAAAGAGTAAACACTTAAATCCAAACTAAAACCAGGTTTGAAACGCAACACCGAAACACAAAGGCACAGAACACTACATAAAAAACCAAAAAACCGATTGCGATAACAAATAAAAAAATAATGCAGAAAACGGCAAAAAACTGAACGATTTCACACAAAAATTCGAAATTCAAAATTCAAAGAGCCGAATCTGATATTTTTATGTGTCAAATCAAAATGTCATGTATCATTATTTGATAGTTGTCAGAAAAAGGGACAGATCTGGGGATTTTATTTATTTTCAACTGGTGAAAATAACGGTCAAAATTCAAACTCTATCGTGAATAAAGTCTGTTTTTTTTTTAAAGATAAAAGTCAAAATGACATTATGTACAATGTAAAATTGTCGATGCTTTCAAATTTTTTATGCAGAAAAGGCTTGTGTTGCCAACATAGTTACTAAATTTTTGGGGGAATTATCTTTAAAAAAAAAAACAGATTTTACGACTATACCATTGATACAGGGCGATTTTCGATTTTCCTCTTTTATGAAAAATAGCTATAAGTTTTTTATTTATCAATTTTTTTTATTTCTGTAAAAACATTTTGGAGATACTTTTTTGAGCACAATCCATTGGCGTACTCAGTTTTCTTCTATTTCGCTTTGATTTCGAGATATCGGCCGATGTCCGATATTTTTAAATAAAATACCCTATATATTAATAGCTTATTGGATAGCTCTGCTTTTGCTGATTTCAATGATATAAAGTTCGATAGGTTTATCTCTACAGTTTTCGAGACAAAAAATGATATCTGTTTTTGACATAAGGACCAATGTGTTAGAAAAGGATTTTATATCTGTAAGGAAAATGAGGAAGGTTTCTTTTTAACACATTGTTTCTTATGACTGAAACAGATATAATTTTTTTTTCTCGAGAACTGTTAGAGATAAACCTATCGAACTTTCAAATCAAATCAAATCAAAAAAAGCTTTATTGTCATAAATTCAAAAAGATCCATTGACAAAGCGACTTATCCTAAACTGAACTACTATTCAGAGGACAGACTAAAGATGTTTTCACAGAAATAAAAAAATTGATAAACAAACAACTTATAGCTATTTTTCATAATAGGGGAAAATCGAAAATCGCCCTGTATTAATGATACCATTGAAGATATCGCGATATCCCATGATATCTAAGTCAATTTTCCTCTATCTGGTCTGGAAGTATGTTTTTCCTGTCAAAACACTCCAAATTGCAGCTCCCACATCACTTTTGCAGATGATACAGTATTACTATTTGAAGGTGATGGTGTAAATACATAAAATTCTATATTAAATTATTATTTAAAAGGAGCAAATCAATCTCGGCCGTTTCTATTGAAATAAAAAACGAACTCTTAGAGGAGATGAACTACTATAAAGACTTGGGTCTAACTATTGACAAAAACATCAATGTTAATAAGCAACATGTAAACCACTTGCAATCTAAGTTATCAAATGCTTGTGGAGCAATAAAATTATACACGGAGCATATACCAAACGTAATGAAACCAGGTGGCTGAATATAAAGCCACCTTCGAATCACATCTCCAATATCTCTGTACTATATGGGCGGAAATTTGAAGGACTGAATTAGTAAGACACTGAGGGTACAAAACAGGTTTATTAAATATATTTATAAAGTAGGTACCTAGACTTTACTATTGACCTACCTATATAAAAATTACAAATTCCCTGATCAGATATGTAATAAATACAGAAGAATGCAAATTAATGCACAAAATTATGTTTAAACAAATTAAGACCAATATCACACTAACAAGAGTACCTAACAGAAATACATGAATATGATACTTGTAATAAATCAGATTTTCATACACTCAACTCTAGAACTAATGCTGGAAAGTACACTACAAACATTTCTCTTCAACATATAATTCAATTCCAAATGATCTTAGACTAATCGAATCTGTGTTCTTTACAATAAACGCGATGTAGATGTAATAACTGGGTTCCTAGAATTTTGGCCGAGTTTCTAGGATTCTGGACATGTTGTCGATGCAATTTCGTAACAACTAACAGATGCATTGAAATTCCGTAGCTGGTGCATCATACTAGATAGATTAAAAGTTCTTCCAGTCCCAATTGATAACTTGGATCATAGACCCTGGAAATGTTATTAAACTGTTATCTTCATTTTTGTAGCGCAAGACCTGGTCGGCAGGGGGTAATGCGGCATCTGGGGAGGGAAGTGTCCCCCTTTCTTCGGACGACGTTTCGGACCAAACAACGGCAGTCTGCGGCAGCGGCACCACGACGGCGGCCCAGAACGGAACCAAGACGCAGTCATCTGCAGCCCAGCCAGCGGCTCAGGGGGCGCAGCAGGGGGGTACAGCTGCCCCTCCTGCTGCAGCCGCGCAAGCGAACCCCCAGCCGCAAGGTAAGAAAAAATGTACGATGACCAAATTTTTTTTTTGTTTTGTCTTTTGTGTGAACGGAGGGAGAGTTTTAACAACAGAATATTAGGAGAGAAGGCAATAATAGCTGTAGCTAGTCTTTGGGTGACCCCTGGTTAAACATAATAATTGTTCCTAAAACTTTTCATGATTAAAAAAAAAATATATCGAGCTCATTCAACTTGATTTCTTTGCCAAATTAATTTTAAAAAAATTAGCATTGGTCACCTGGGACCCCAGTAATTTTAGATGCAGCTCACTTTTGAAAAAGAAGGTAAATCATGATTTAGACATTTCAGCATTCTCCTGTTTTGTTTATAATAATTATTTTCATTATACTCTTATCTTATGGGTCTCTTTTCTTTTTTTTATTTTCATTTATTAATCTATAGTTTACTTGCTTATCAGTTTAAATGTTGGAATTATTAGAACAAGTGATTAAAACAACAATGGGTTTCACTTATACTTTAAAGCTTTTATTTTATAAAATTAACTAATAAACAAGTTACCAAAATAACTTTTAAAAATGACAAGAAGTATACGTGTTACGTAATTTCGGTCCCATCCTTCTGATGTTACGATATGTTTCTATATTTAGCCTAACAATACGTTTTCACCATTCCACCATATCTGGCAATCTACAGGATGTGTCAGAAAAACGAGTTCAAATGTTGCATGAACCAACCCGCTGTAATTGTTTGAGTTTATATTTTATAATGCTTTTAAATACCGGACCTTCAAATTAAAAGAGAATTGGCATAGTAGTCCAGCAGGCAAGTACTTTCTGCTGGGAACTATTCCGAAGGTAATGATATTTTGATATGTCATTTATGGGTAGTCTGTGGAGTAAAATCTGAGTTTTCGACCTCGAGGACCCTGTGCTAGCTTGGGGAGAGACGAAAAACCACGAAATTTTTGGACTTTTTCAGTTTTTTGCTTATATTTTCTAAACCATGCGTTTTAGCGGAGTACACCTAGTTATAAAGTTGAAGAACAATAAATTTCTTTCAAATTCCACTAGTCAAACGTATTATGTAATGGAATGGTATTAATAGTAACCAAGATACAGTGCTTCAAAAATACAGAAAAATTCTCAACTTGTCAAAAATTTCTTCCGGCCGACCACAATTCAAACCAAGCATGAGATAAACATATTTTATCTTCATCTCTTTCACATATATCCATCCGCAGACGATATATGTCTACTGTGTACCTAAGTTATTTTCCGCGTTAACCGCAACTAAAACTTCGAAATTATCGGACTTTTCCAGTTTTTTGCTTATAACTTTTGCTCTTCTTATAATATTTGATTATTTTCAAGATATTCTCCAATTCGAGTAGAGATTGCCGAAGTGAATATCTTACAGAGTGTTGGTAAACTCGTTATGAGCCTTTATTGTGTGGGGTCCCGTGCTTCCTTGTTTTGGGTAATTAAGTGTGTTATACCCTTAGTTAAAAAAATCATAGTGGAATTTCTTGTGAGCCTTTCGTGGATAACTTTGAAAGCTTTAACCAATAAGCATGCAATTGATCTGGTCCTGGAGCCCTCCAGTTTTTTTGTTTTTTTTTATGATATTTGTAATTTCTGTTGTTAAAAATTCTCAAGGTATCATTTCATTTATTTTTTCATTTTCTGCTTTTATTTCTTCAATCCAATTAGCTTGTATATTATGTTCGACTGGGTGACACCAAATGCCAGACCAAAACTCGTACAAGGATTCAATATTGGACAATCTCAAATGTGCATCAGGTTGTGTCTCTTTTGTTTCTATGATATCTTGATAGAATCTCTTTTCATTGGCACAGAATAATGAGTTTTGGTGCTTTTGTTCCTGGGCTTTATTGTACCGTACAAGTCTGCTGGATTTTAATGGTATCTTTTGTTTAAGAGTGTCTAGGAATTCTTCCTATGTCCCTTCTCAAAGCTACTATGTTTTTTCGAGTCTGATTTGTCATGGTCTTCTTCGGACCTGTTTGCATGGAGTTTTCGAGTTTACATAGCATGTGACAGAGCATGTGACATTATATCCCAGGTATTCCGATATTGTTAAGGCACTACAGTAGACAAGTCCTTATATTTCTTTCAGATCATTATATCCACTTAGCAGTTTTGGTAAATTCTGGAGGTTAAAAAACGCAGTTATGCTAACCATTCGTTTGTTACATCTTAATCTGCGCAGTTTTGGTCTATTTTCAGGAGGTACATGTTGATATTCCTCAAGATTTTTTAGAAGTTTTGGTGTTAAGTTTTCCTGAAGTGCCTTGTTTAACATTTCCTGAGTATTCAATAACACATCATCAATCCTCTGATTCTCCGATACCGATCCTACCACTATTGTGCTTTCTGAGCCACCGTTTTCTTTTGTGTTTGATACAGAATCAGGTGGCTCCGATTCATTTTCCTGATACTGGATCATTTTGGCCGCTTCACCTTTTTGTTCTGCAAGTATCTCAATTGTTTAACAGTTTATTTTTAATTATGTCTCTTCTTTGATCAGACAATCTTTGCTTAGACACATTTACTTTGGGATATTTTTTAGTAAATTCCTCATGTAATTTTGCGATATTCCGTAAAGTCCGTTTCTAATTTTGTTATGAACCAATAAGTACGTATAATAAAAAAAATATTCTGATCCCATTTCATCCGTACTCTCTACTTCCCAGCTTTAGTGGACGCAGGTTTGAGAGCATTTCCGCTCCGTGTAACACATAAGCTGGTTTCAGATTAAGCTGCAACCTCACCATTATTTTCTGCAAGTTCATGCTCACTTAGAAAATCCACAGCTTCAATATCATTATCGTTCTTTGCAATGACAGGTTTTAAAGGCCATTTTGAGCCTGCAAGGTGATCTCCAATTAATAGTAAGTGAATGATCTTTTTATAATTTCCTTTACTTTTCAATTTTGGAGTATTTTTTGTGCTGAATATTCGTGTTGTTGGTTGTGATTCAGAGGAATATATTTTGAATGTTGTTTTCTGTGTTTCTACAAGTGCCAGTATTTCCAGGATTGTTTCAAATGTTGTCGTCTTACTCATATTTGTGCAATATTCACTAGCACTTTTTAGCCTGTCTTCAACATGAACCAGGTTTTTCCAGTTTCTTCGTATATATTTGACGACATCTTGTCTCAGCCGATCATGAGAATCTTGATGCCCATACATGTGCAAGCTTTCCGCTCTAAAAAGGCAGCTAACGTCTCCGATTATATTTTCTCTGGTAGAAGATATTTTTTGGTTTGGTTTGCTGCAGATCTCGTCGTCCTTATTTGTAGCCATTCTTGTGGTTCCATTCAATGGAGTGGCGCCACTTGCTTCATCAACATCCACTGTAAGCGAAACATCACGACGGTTCTGAAGGGTACTGGCTTCCATATCCCTACTGTCACAGTTGGTTTTTCCTTTATTTTGTATTTTCATTGCTTCAAATAAATTGAGTTATGAGATAAGCTTTTGCCAGCAGGTCTTTGGCGAACAGTATTCAGCCGCTCCTAACATGAAATACAGGGGCTGTTGGAGTGCTACTCCTAACATGAAGTACTTACCGTCGCGTCCGTGCTAATTTTGGTTCGTTTTTTTTGTATCTTTGAACCGCTGTATCTCAGTTACTTTTGTGTTGAAGAATACTGTTAAATTTGTAGAAAATTTAATTAAAGACATGCTTTAGAAGTTATGAGCAAAAAACTGAAAAAGTTTTAAAATTTCTATGTCCTTCGACTTCCCCCCAAGTTAGCACAGGGTTCTCGAGGTCTAAAACTTGGAGTATAGGTAATCCACAGACTAACCACAAATGACATGCCAAAATATCAATAACTTTTGAATAATTCCAGCTACCTCCTTTATTTATTACTTGCCTGCTGGCCTACAGTGGGTTCTAAAATTAAATAACTGTCTTTGAATAGCGCAAAATGGTCGCGTTCATTTGTTTATAATAGCTTTTTCAGGCAGTTCAAACTTGATGCTATAAAATATTGGTAGATGAAGGCACCAGATATTAAATTTTGGCAGTTTTCTAGATCACAAAATAAATAACATTGTGTCATTTTGAAAATCAAATGAAAAGACTAAAACATGACAATGAGCGCTTTCACATGATCACATTTTAATAATGATGAACTAAATATTTTCACAAATCAAAGAATTATAAAATTATAAAAAATTTGCTCAAACAAAAATTACTCCAGGTTTGTAAACTCTGCATGCAACATATTTTAACATGTTTTTCTGACACACCCTGTAGGTTGCGAGGTATAATGCAGTGGTGAAAAAGTATTGTCAGACCAAGCATAACCACATATGTATTGAAATATCAAAGGATGTTTCACGCCTTCACCGGAGCGAAATTACGCATACTTTGTGCCAAATCCCTTGCAACCTACATAAAACATCAATGAGTAATGTAAAGGTAATAACAATAATTACCTATTTTTATCAGTGCAATTATTTCATTCTTTTAACAAATTAATCCAACAGTCATCAACTTACTTATTTGTGACTGGCATATGGAATAAGATCGCACATTACAAAGAAGGTGTTGGTATATAAATGATTCAATAAGCCGACAGCTTATGCCTTTACGACTTTGGCATTGAGCCAAACCAGAAAGGCAGTAAAGTTTAAAAATAAATGGCGATTCGTTTGTGAAGAAATATTGTGCAATCAGCCCTAGAATTGGAAAAAATTACAATTTTGATGTTACATTGCAAAATTGTAGAAAATGTGAATGTTTATTTGAAGCTAAAATTGTCAGCCCCTTTTAGTGGATATTGAATATTAAAAGATTTTACCCATTTACTGTAGTTATCAAGCAATAATTAATTATTTATGTTACTTTAAATAAATATTTTATTTAGTTTGACCCTGTTGAACAAATACTTTTGTAAAACTACGCAATAGATTACATAATATTATTTTTTTGCGACTTACTTTGCATAATATTTTTCATTTGCCATAGCTTTATCTAGGATAAATACAGTTAGACCCCTTTTATACTTTCTTCTAATAATTCCATACAATTATGGTATATGTATGTATACGTTTTTACTTCTTTTTAAGTTTCACCTGAAAATTACCTTATTCTTCAAAGTTGGTTTTCGTTCTAAACTAAAAATCCTGGGGTATTTTTTGTTTTTATACTGACCTTGTTTTTATTCTGCATGCCTATTATATTTTATGTATTAATGGGTTTTTTTTGATAATTTTTAGTTAAGGTTGTTGCTTTTTGGTTTTAATATAGGGCCACCTACTTAGTTAGATGACTTAATTTTTGTGCAAAAGGGGATGAGTGTAAACTCCAACAGTCCTTTGCATTATTTTTCCGATTTTGCCGAAAATTATCCAAAGACGTTATTAACGTCGGTAGGAAGTTTGGACGTTTGAGTCGCAGTATCCGTGGGTCGATGAATGCGTTGAGTCATTTACCTAGTTGTATGGGGCCCTTATATTGCCAAAGTTCCAATAACTTATCATAAAATCCAGATTAGATATTATAATTTATTAGTAGTTATTAATAATTAAAGCTGGTTTCACGACCAACGCTACACTATACAGGGTGGGGACTTTAACTGGAACTAATTCGCTAGAGCCTTCGGATAAAATATGTGGACAAAACGCAAAAACACGTCGATCAAGATTTTTTTTTTGAAATTTTTCCATATTAATTTTTTTATACAGGGTGTTCCAAGAACAGCTGTACGGTTATCAACTTTATTTTTCCAAATGGTAGCCCCTGTATATTATGACATTTCTGGATTCTGCTGAAAATTCTAGACATATTTCATGTACAATGTTATATACCTATCTTCAACTGTTTCCGAAATATTGACAGTTGAAAATTGACTTTTTTGCAACTTTGACAGGCTGTAAAACCTAAACGGTTAATTTTAGAGGAAAACCAGTTCACATTCCTGTCTTAGATTTTCATAAACTATCATTTGACACTAACTTTGAATTTAACTGTAGATTGAATTTAACTGGAGTTTTTAATCATGGATTAAATTCAAAGTTGGTGTCAAATGATAGCTTATGAAAATCTAAGATAGGAATAATGTGAAATCGGTTTTCCTCTAAAATTAACCGTTAAGGTTTTACAGCCTGTCAAAGTTGCAAAAAGTCCATTTTCAACTGTCAATATTTCCGAAACAGTTGAAGATAGGTATATGACATTGTGGATGAAATATATCTAGAATTTTTTGCAGAATCCAGAAATGTCATAATATACAGGGGCTACCATTTGGAAAAATAAAGTTGACAACCGTACAGCTGTTCTTGGAACACCCTGTATAAAAAAATTAATGTCAAAAAAACTCAAGCAAAAAATCTTGATCGACGTGTTTTTGCGTTTTGTCCACATATTTTATTCGAAGGCTCTAGCGAATTAGTTCCAGTTAAAGTCCCCACCCTGTATTTAATAAAACACAATTTATTTCTATCTAACACAGTCTATAAATTATCAGAAGCTTTTAACCATGTGCTATACATTCTAATTTAAAGTGATATCATAGGCCCAATTGTATTGTTAGCAGCAAGATGATAATTAGAAAACATGTATGTATTTTGACCACGAATACGTACATTAATAGCTTTTATTAAATAAATGGAACGCTGACCACCGTTACAGTAACTGTTGAACACTCGCTTGTCCTTGATTTACTTTGCTCTAAAAAACTATTCATTTGACATATAATAAAGGAATTTTCAATAAGTCGTCAATACGGTTTATACTATGAATCACAATATATTTCATCTATTTCAAGTTTCTAAAATCGAAATCCTAGTCATTATTGAACAAAAATAATTGCTTGAAGGTGGGCCTTGAAAGTTATTGTTTTTAATGCTATAAGAATAATCCACGCAATGGTTTTTAACTGCTACAGACTAAAAAGATTAAAATAAGAAATTTTTGAAATTTCCAATTTCAATTGTTTAGGATTTATACATTTTTCACTCCAATTTTTATGAATAAATCAATCTGTTACCACTTAATCACTTTTTAATTATTGTCCAACTGAAATAATTAATATACATTTTACGTTTACGTCAAGGGACAATATGTTTTTTTTTTAAATGGAACCACAGCGCATCAAATATTTACAAATTTCAATGATTTTGTGCCAACTATAACATAACCTTGAATTGAATTTGTTCTTGAACCAATAAGGTGAACAAAATTTAAACAAAAAAAAAAAAGATTATTTCGATTCGTTTCTAATTATTGTTTCATTGTTCATGCAATGAACTGATTTTACCCTCATAAAGGTTTTATACGGGGTGGCAATATGAACGTTATGATTTGAATGCTTTATAACTTTTTTATTTTTAAGTAAATTGTTAACATATTTTTTTTTAACACAGTTTATGAATGGAGAAAATTTTTGACTCAAATCTGAAAAAGACATCTCGCAAGTGTCTGCCATTTTTTGCTCCGCAAAGTCGTGCTCTTTCCGACACATGTTGCATAACTTTTTGCAAAATTTCGGGAGTTATAGCACGGATTTCATTACGTGGTCTTCCGGCACCACGGAGGTTCCTAACTGAACCTTGTGGCTGAAAATTTGTAACCAGACGATTTATTGTTGACACGGAGGGTCCAACACGCACATTAAAATACCGACGCTATGCACGCTGCGTAAGAACAATAATTGAGTTTCCATTCGCAAAGTAAAATTTAATGATTTTTGTTCGTTGTTGTATCGTGTATTCTTCCATTTTAAATTCCCCAAGTCTTCCTTACAAAATTCTGAAACAAAAGAGAAATTAAAAATTTTAATAAAAAAGTTATAAAACAATCAAATCATAACGTTCATACTGCGCCACCCTGTAGTAAACATTTATTTTGTTAGGGATTAATTGATAAGACATTTCAAATTTTAATTTTCCAGTACATTCAGCAGTACTTTATCATATGAGACTTGTACTGATTAAACTTAACTACAGCAAGATTAAATATGTTCAGGAGCTGCACATACAATCGGACTTGAGTTGAGTGTAGGTTAAAAATAAAAGTCATTATGATGCATTATTTTAGCCAGCACCGAAAGGAGGTCGACCAACACTGGCACTACTTGCGAATATTTTTTGGCAGACGCCAGGGTATGCGCCCGATACCTAATTGGCGCTTAGTTTTAATCACGAGATAAGAATCTTTTGTTTGGTTTGATTCTAATACGTTAAATATATCATCATTTGGGTTGATGTATGTAAAATAAAATGGCATTACTGCAATAATTAATAATTTTAATAACTGATAAAACTTAAATTCAGGTCACAACCTCATTATGTAAAAAGTAGCCATTAACTGAGGTTTTTATTTTGTGGTAAAATATCAATTGCAAAAATTTGCTTGTGCCATAAGATTTATTCGAAACGATGTTTCAGGTGCTCGCAAGCAGAACAAATAATTACAATACACTTTGTCATTT